ATGCTGTGTCCTGTCTTCAGTGTTTGTCCGATCATTGTGCTGCTTCCCTCAGCCAGTGAGGTGTCCTGTGTGTTCCTTGTTGTTCCAAAGAGTTTTTGCTGCACTGTCAGCTGTTTATTTTGATTGTTCTAAATAAATTCATTATTTTTGCACTTTGGATCCTGCCTGCACTCTGGGTCATTTCTGCAAAACCTTACAAAAGGTGACATAGATACTTTATTATGGTGTAGTATTTAAATATATGCCTGAGAAACGCATAATATTGCCTCTTTAAAAGTTTGACTGTTCTTGTTCCGAYCCCATGATGGAACTTAGACAGGAAGTTTTAATCTTTCTTTTTAGCATCATATTTAAACCTGCATCATGTTTGATTTCATGCTGCCTTATATGCATTAAAAGATAAGTCTCTTGTATGTTTTGTGTAAAAAAAACCTGTTCGATAATCACAACAAGCAACTGTTTGACGTTTTATCTCAGAGGATTTCCAGGTAAATAACAAACTGTTTATCAAACAGCCAATCTGCCCAGGATTGGTCATCAAAAAAAGGGATAAAAATATTAAAACTGAGAACTGTGCTCCAGCTGTGGCCACTCAATGAAGTGAAAAATTGCTGGGGTCATCCAAAAGCACCGGGGTGAAGTTACTTACAGCTTTGTTATGAAATAAACACAAGTGTTGATTTATTCAAAAMAATGGAGCTTTGGGGTCATGCAGTTTTTAATTTCTGTGTTTTAGGTTTTTGTTTTTTCTCATAAAACATTTGTTTACAGGAAACCTAAACRTTTACACCTGAACACAAGAACCCAGGAGTCATTTCTGTGTTTTTGAAGTATCTACACTTAAGAATGCACAAATCAAGCTGTTGCTGCCAAAACCAATAAAAACTGCAAGATTTTCTGACAAGTTCCTGGTGCCCGTGCAGCTCCTCCTCCTGTAGGCCATAAAAAGTTTCAGAAAACAATTTCAAATTCCTTCAGATGATGCAGTCTCCTTCCCTTAAGCTCACCAGAAGCTGAACGAACGGACTGAGTGGACGGTTAAAGGCTTGCTCAGCTGCGAATACAAATCTTTTTCTTACAGTTTTGTCAGCTTGTCTACTTTTCTGTTCTTGCCTTAATCTGTAACTGGGCCTTTTCTACCATCATCGATGTCACAGCAAAGTGGGTGTGAACAATAAAGTCCAATGTGTGGAGCACGTACACAATAGCAACGCCTTGGTGTCAGTGTTGTCATTAAGCTTCCTGTTTGTGTTTATGGACGGAGGCAGAAGGCCYCCACGGTGTTCTGTTTTCTGTGTGCACATTTATGGATGTGTGCATGCAGATGTGCACACGTGCACATGGCAAAAAGACTAGAGTGCTTACTTTGTGCTCCACAAAACAAAGGCATATATAGGGAATTTTTTAAGCWTTTGTTTTGCTGGTTGGATGGTTTTTGTAAGTTTTAAAGCAACTCGGCCAATTTTGGAAGTGTTAGTTTGACAAAGAGAGAAAAAAATTGATTGGTTCACAAATTGCTCATTGGCCATCCATTTTCTGTACACGCTTATTCCTTTAAGGGTCGCGTTGACACATTTTTATTTGCCTTTTTATTACCAAAACATTGCTAAAGATCCTGTAATGCTAGGACATTTTAGACAACTTATGCCAACTTCTGAAAATTTTGTCCTACACTAAAGATGTCTGCCCTGAAAGATGGATATTAAAAAATCCATTGGAGGACTCTTTTGGATGTATACCTATTAGAATGGTAACAATTATGGCCTTTTTGCACTGCAAAAGAAAAAAACACCTGAACAAAAGCTGAATGTTGTGTACAACAAGTTTCAATGCACTGACAAGTGTTCAGACTTAACTTAAGCAACTACAAAAACACGTGGCATAACAAAAGATCCGGTTCTCAAAATGAGACTCAGCTTCACCTTCATCTTAGCAATAAGGGACACTCTTAAGGAACGTGTACACACTTTGGACTGATAAGATAAATGGTTTGAGCAACCTAGAAATCTAAAACCTACTATGCAGCATTGACTTTTCTTCCAAAGTGGTTGTCACATTTACTTCTCGAGAGAAGAACCAGAAATGGAGATCCACACACAAGGAGTACAAAAGAAAAGAATCTCTATTAACATAAAACAAACAATAAAAAAAAAAACCACAGACCTCTCAGGGGAGGCGGAAGACATCATACTGAAAACACACCAGGTTTCTAATGTGAAGAGGAAAAGATAAATATAATGGAAAAAAATACTTTTTGTTTTAAGCCAGTAATTCTATGACATACTTTAATGACCCAGTTTTTCATGGCACCCTGTTTGTCGGTGGATAGAATGGCTATAGCCAGAACAAGATTTACTCGTTTGAATTTATCTCTGANGACAATATGTGTGTGCGAGGGTGTGTGTGAATTTTTGGCCCGATCTAAACTACGTGACACAACAACCACAGTTTAAAAACTCTTGAAGCACAAAGAGGATGTGTAAGTTAATTCAGTTTGTTTTATGACTGATAGACTTCATGTTTTCACTGTGGGTGAGGAAAAGGCAGCTTCTACCACAGCAACCATCAACAATGCTATGGCTAACTCTTGAATCTCTGCAGGGCGTGTCTCTAGAGAGAGCCTTTTATATGAGCACTGTACTGTGACACGTCACGCTGTACCACACGTCACGAGGGACTTCAAACGTGGAAGTATTTTTTAAACCCCTAGATGGCAGTACCAAGCCGTTTTTGACCAAATATCGACGATTTAAACTATTTTAGACGAAAATGTTAAATTTAGGTCAAAAATAGCAAGGTATTACACTTAAGACAGAATTTGGGCAGTTTATTTGTTTAAAAAAAAGTTAATTTTGGGGTAAGTTACAATTTAAGGGTCGCGTTGACACATTTTTATTTGCCTTTTTATTACCAAAGCATTGCTAAATATCCTGTAACTCTGGGACATTTTAGACAACTTATGCCAACTTCTGAAAATTTTGTCCTACACTAAAGATGTCTGCCCTGAAAGATGGATATTAAAAAATCCATTGGAGGACTTTTTTGGATGTATACCTATTAGAATGGTAACAATTATGGCCTTTTTGCACTGCAAAAGAAAAAACACCTGAACAAAAGCTGAATGTTGTGTACAACAAGTTTCAATGCACTGACAAGTGTTCAGACTTAACTTAAGCAACTACAAAAACACGTGGCATAACAGAAGATCCGGTTCTCAAAATGAGACTCAGCTTCACCTTCATCTTAGCAATAAGGGACACTCTTAAGGAACGTGTACACACTTTGGACTGATAAGATAAATGGTTTGAGCAACCTAGAAATCTAAAACCTACTATGCAGCATTGACTTTTCTTCCAAAGTGGTTGTCACATTTACTTCTCGYGAGAAGAACCAGAAATGGAGATCCACACACAAGGAGTACAAAAGAAAAGAATCTCTATTAACATAAAACAAACAATAAAAAAAAAAACCACAGACCTCTCAGGGGAGGCGGAAGACATCATACTGAAAACACACCAGGTTTCTAATGTGAAGAGGAAAAGATAAATATAATGGAAAAAAATACTTTTTGTTTTAAGCCAGTAATTCTATGACATACTTTAATGACCCAGTTTTTCATGGCACCCTGTTTGTCGGTGGATAGAATGGCTATAGCCAGAACAAGATTTACTCGTTTGAATTTATCTCTGAGTTTTCCCTTGACCCAGCTAGGCCCTTAGGATGAAATCTTGCTTTATTAAGATGACATAATGATGTTTGTTAAACAAATAGGAGGCTTTGTAACTGTTAGCTCAGATCTTTACAGACAGCCTGATGACTCTTAACTAGTGTCATCTTGCTTAATCCAATAAACAAACTCAGATGACCATCCTACGAGGTGCCTTTATTCGTTGGATCACGCATTTCTGTTTCTTGTCAAATATTTCCACAACATCAACACTGACATCTACTCACAACTGTGCAGCTATACTGAAGAAGGGATCTGAACATAAACCTAAGGCTGAGGAACTAATCAAAGGCAAGTGGGAACACCTGAGGAASTAAACTAAGAGCAGGTATGGAGCTCACCTCAATAGAGGAGAACACAGACAGGAAAAAGATCAAAACACAAGGAAAACCTAAAGGTAAGTGCAAAAAAAACCCCACGCTATGACAATGCTTTCAAATGTGACTTTTTACATGTAGGTGTAGTTGATCCAACAAATTTGCAGGAGTCGCTGAACCAAACAACTCGCTGGGTTGAGAGGTGGGTCAGTGATCCAAGTAACTACTAAACTGCTTTAGTGCGATAGTCCCAACCAAGGTTTTTAAATCTCAAACTGCCACAGCAGTGACACGTCTTCAAAAAACGCCCAATTACAATCGATTAAACTCCTAAAATTACAGCAAGGCCGAGATATGTCAGAGCCGAACACTCAGTAATGACTGCACAGACCCCAGTACTGTCCTGTTTGGAGCAAGGCTGCTGGTTTTTTTGTTATTTTACCAGGACTAAATGGCAGTGCTTGTAGATATTTATCACTGACCGCTCCTGTGAGTCCAACTGGATCCCACCTGTTTCCACCTGTCTACAGTTAATAGAAAAAAGCACCATGGATTTTTTTTTTTTACATTACACTCGCTGCACACGTGATTGGTTTCTTGGTGCCATGGGTGCGACTGGTCAAAATGCATAATAAGAGTTTAAAAAAAGCTCAGTCTTTGTTCTCCGTTCTGACAACCATTTCATGCATGCCTGCTTGAAATAATTACAAAACACTTAGAATTAGTGTATTAATGGAAAAGCAGCTGGGGTTGGATTTATAATGCTTGCGTACGCACAAAACGAACCCAGAAACTTGCGTGTGCAACTTTTCATGCAAAGGTTGTGATTTACAAAATCCAAACTTGACGTGACAATGTGCGGTGCCTCASGCCAGCTCTGACCCATGCGTACGCTCATTTTGYAGACGMGAAACTGCGACACAGATGGTGAAGTGAGGAATTAGAGCCACACCGTAAAATGATCACTGTCAGATATTTCATTTCACTTCACAATCAGACTTAGAGTTTTATTCAACTTTATCATAAGCTTTCTTAATGGTATTATTTATGCTTCTGCTGTGAGCCATAAGGGCCTTTTGAAATAAAAAAAAAACAATTCTTAAAGTTCACGCATCTCCATTCATCTCCTTCCTCCTCACGACCCTGACCCACAGACCCCTCCCCGACAAGAGACATTTCAACAGCATGACAGCAAAAGTCAGGCTTTGGGTACACGCAGGGTACGTCCACCTTCGCCAGTGTGGATGTTATAAAAGTTCACTTTTTAAAGTCTGTATTTTTTAAGCATGTGCAGGGCTGTGGGATGTGTGAGGGGGTGAGGAGCGGGTCAGCTGCAGATAACAGCAGGTAGGAGGGGGAGAACGGGGGAGAAGAGTGGTGAACTTATTTCTAACTTTATCTGACTTTTTAAATTTTATTTGTTTTTATCGTCCTGCAGGCTCTGAGAGAAAATTAATTTGAAGCTGTGTTTTTGATAAAAATCACTAGATTACTCTAAACGTCTGTAAACCTGCAAAATGAGGGAAAAGCTGTGTAAATTACATTCTGTTCACGTGAGCAGCTGTCAGTCAGCACCTGTCATCCTCCAGACTCACGACGGAGCGTCTGAACCAATCACTTTTGTTGGCATTGATCAGCTGACTGATTTAAATACGTCTTAACATTCATGAGGTACTTTGCGTTGACTGTTTATGGTTTTGTGGTTGAGTGTGGGCGTGTAGAGGGTAGAACCTGAGGCGGGAACTTGTGCGCAAACTCTGAGGTGCAGCTGTGATCTATAAAGGAAAGGTGTGCAGAAACATGCYTACGCACGGTTTTATAAATCTGAAAAAAAAAWWTTTTTTTGCATACGCTATTTTCACCTTTTGGCCGTACGTTCATTTTTAGTATGGTTTCCATGCAATCCTTTATAAATCTGACCCCTGATCCTGAGCTCCTCCCAGTACTGAAACAGGAACATTTTAGAGGAAAACCCCAAATTAGAGCAAGCATGTTTTAAGTTGTTGCATTTAGGTGTTCTATTTCATCCCTAATGACCGCCAGAAGTGGTGCTTAAAGCACTGAATGATAATTCTTGCACATGCGCAGTTCGAGTATTATGCCAACAAGGTCACGTGAGACCCCCGGTGACACCGGTGAGCCTATATAGTCACGTGACATGATAGCTCAGTCCCTTTTCATCTTCTCACATGCAGGTTAAACAGGTGGTAAGACCTTGATTTGTTTGCTTGATGCTGGTAGCCTCGTGTCTAAGGTTGGAGCTGCTTGATTGTCTTGCCCTCCAGAGGCTGCGCAAGGTAATCTACACTTATATACAGCTGTTTTTTACCGCCGACTGGTAAATTGTTGTTTATTTACCCTTTTTAAATCCGGCGGTAGCATGTTTGCTAGTCGTACAGACTTCTTTAATTACTGTGGACCCGAAGTTTGGGCTCCAAAAGTTTGAATTGTTCCCGTGCGGTCTGCCTTAAGTTTATTGCAGCCGTAGTTGTGCTTAATTCTTTTGTATATTGCAGCCGTGTATATTTTGCTTACATTGTTACAGCCTGTTAGGCTCGCCTTTATTATGACCCCCGCATGCAAAGCATAAGTGGGAGTCATATTGTTTTCGTACTGTTTATTTAGTTTGGGGTTTTTTTTCAGTGATTTTTGGTCAACCGTAGCACAAAAACGGCTTCACCAATCAACATGAAATTTGGCAGGACTGTAGATGAGTCCGACCTACACTGCGCCAGCCAACAGTTTTACGATAGACCCCATATGTGAGGAGGGGGCTCCTTTCAAAGAGGGGGTGTGTGGACATGTGAAAATGCTTATAACTCAAAAACTGTTAAACATAGAAGCTTCAGATTTCTTTTGTTGTTTAGCTCTGATGAAGCTCTATCCGTCAGGCCCACCAATCGGTGCCCCCCCCCCCCCAAAAAAAAATTGAAAAAATTGCTTTTCTTTTAGCCATAGGCTAAATGRGTGGGTGAGGTGCACGCATTATCTACTCATGAGTCTTGTTGCCGATGGAACTCCACTGGCTCGGGTGTCACCCTCTTGCCTAATGCAGCATTCTTCTCTAAGATGGCTTAATCTATGAGCCATCTTTGGCCTCTCCAGCTTGCCTGTTTTGAAGCAGACAGTGCTGCTGAACCTCTTTGCCCGGTTCGAACGCTGGAGTAATACATCAAACAGGCAGCTTCTTTGCGACAGTCTGAGAACCACTTTGTTAGCTACGCGGGGCCTCGCAAAGGGCAGTCCCTTTCAAAGCAGCACCTTGCATGCTGGATTGTGTATGTAGTGGAGCGGGCATATACCCTACAAGGCCACCAACCACCAGCAAGGGTACGGTGTCATTCTACAAGGGGTATTAGCACATCATGGGCTGCTATAAGTGGGGTCACACTGGAGGCCATATGTGCACCAGCTTCCTGGACGTCCCCAAATACACAGGACAAACCTGGCTGCCTTCCACCCATCGGAGGGAATCCTGTCGCAGCACCAATCCTCGTCTCAGTAAGGTGGGCATAGCTGCTGTTTTCTTTTTTCCCCTAACTCTCTTGTGTGTGTGATTTCTCAGGACTCTGTTGGTAATCGTCATCCAGTGCTTTAAGCACCACCTCTGGCGGTCAGTAGGGATGAAATAGAACAAAAGTTACGACTGTAACTGTGGTTCTATGAATCCTGGATGACTGCCAGAGTGCTTGGTCCCTTGGAATCATTGTGTTTTCGTGAGGAGTAAGGGACTGAGCTACCATGTCACGTGACTATATAGGCTCACCGGTGTCACAGGGGGTCTCACATGACCTTGTTGGCATAAGATACTCGATCTGCCCATGCGCAAGAATGATCATTCAGAGCTTTAAGCACCGCCTCTGGCGGTCATCCAGGATTCATAGAACCATAGTTACAGTCGTAACTTTCGTTTTATGCATTTGTGATTTTTAATTATTTTTTGTCATGTTTGAGTTTAGGTTGCTTATCAAAGTGCTAATTTAGACATGTACCAAAAAGCTAAATGTAAAATAATATTTGCTTTTAACTCTTGCAGGATCAAAAGCAATTTGTAAAAGAATGAAGTTGTTACCAGTTAGATTTTTACTTGTTTTAGATGTTTATAAAWTAAAAAAATGAATCAGTTATAAGCTAAACACCTACCCTTTGTTATAAACTAAAATGTCCTTCCCGTACTGTCCTTAAACACAGACGTCCTTCTCAGCTCACTTTACAGAACTGCCTGTAATCACCAGCTCTTACCTTTTTTTTTTGCAAACAACATCAAGTCAACAGGGACCCTGGTTTGAACAAGGTCACTGTATAAGCAATACTTCTATCTCTTCAGTGCACAATGCGGCCTTGGCATCAGGACGAATGTTTAATGTAACGATAAGGAACAGGCTGGCGTGTCAGGCACCCTGTAGACAGCCCAGCCTCTGCTAAGGAGCTTCCAAACACTAACCGAGATTAGCATGTGCTTCCAAATTGTGCTTGCAAGAAGGGCAACTACAGCAAATGCTCCTCTGAGACTGGAGTCTGCTTTGCTAAGCTGAGGCATCCATCTGGATTGCTTATGTCAGTAATTACAGCAGCTTTGTCCCTTTGCTCTGTTGCTGAGACACTGCAGGCTCATGGAGGAAAGTTTTTAGCAGACCAGATGTCTTATCAAAAATAGTTGGGTTGCAAAAAGTTCTATAGAAACAGTAATGAATACTACATAGGGACACAGAGGGACAGCGCTCCTCCCACACCTAAGTAAGGCAACAGCCATTTTATAGTTGTGTTCTATGGAAAAAAGTTATGAACAACTAATAAATTACCTGTTTTAGATGGSTTTTGAAACAACTTRAGTTTGGAGAAATAYTTTTTGCCTGACAGCGCTAACTCAAAATGTAGCTGAGATCAAAGCAGATTGCTGGTGTCCTAAAACAACATCCATTGCGTTTTCTTTACTTGCGTTTTCTTTTCAAGTCCTAGGGTGCTATCTTGCAGAGGTCTAAAATAACGTCAGTCTTTATAAAAACAGTCGTAGCAGTTCATGTGAGGACTATTTTACAAATTTGTGATTAAACTGAAAATTGTGGAGAAATTATATAAAACTCCTTGCAAAAAAAACTGCAGAATTCTATGTAAATAAACATGGAACAMGAAGTTAATCAGGATTTACTGGAGTGTTTAAGACACTGGTTTTAGCCATTAGCTCCTCAGTCCCATCATACACAGTTTTGTTTCTCCAAACTGTGGCTCTTTATAAAGCCCTCTGCAACAGGTAAAATTGATTTTTTATAAGTTTTCTTTAGAACCTCACTACAAATCTTTTTAAAAGGTACAGAATAGGTCATTCAGTTTTAGAATAAAATTTTCTCTATCAAAAAGTAAGAAGATGGCAAACTCTTTATATTTTAATATATGTATGTATATATACACGTGGACAAAATTGTTGGTACCCCTCTTTTAATGAAATAACCTCACAATGGTAACTAGAATCTGACAAAATTAGACYGTGTTCATTTCTTCATGCTTCATTTTTCAGTCTGTGAACATAGAGCTGATGTACCTTGACAAAAAGTTCCATTTTTGTCTCATCTGTCCAGAGGACATTCTCCCATAAGCTTTGTGGCTTGTCAACATGTAGTTTGGCTAATTTGTTTTCAACAATGGGGTCCTCCTTGGTTGTCTCCCATTAAGTCCACTTTGGCTCAAACAACAACTGATGGTGCGATCTAACACTGATGTTCCTTGAGCTTGAAGTTAACATTTAATATCTTTAGAAGTTTTTCCTGGGCCCTTTTGTTACCATTCMTATTATCCGTCTCTTTGATTTGTCATCAATTTTCTTCCTGCGGCCATGTCCAGGGAGGTTGGCTACAGTCCCATGGATCTTAAATTTATAAATAATATTTGCAGCTGTAGTCACAGGAACATCAAGCTGCTTGGGGATGGTCTTATAACCTTTACCCTTTAACATGGTTGTTTAGGGCCTTTAAAAACAAAACAAAAAAAGTAGTTCATTTGTACACCCGGACACGTTCAGGTCATTCCACCTGACTAAAGAGGCATTTTAGACTAAATGTTTGTGTGACACTTTCATTCAGCCTGTAACAGTAAAATTTTTAAAATCACATCTTTTTCATTTTTTTCTCTAAGTTAATAATCAATCATCAATGTTTCTTCTCTGCACTTTAAATCTTTGCTATTGTGTCAACTGAACTCATCGTTCTTRTGGTTACTTTTTGTTTCCTTTTTCTTCTCTTTCTCATCTTCCATGAGTTTCCTTTTTCACGCTGCTTTCCACCAGCCTTTCACTCCCCAGGACAACCTTTATTTTGTTTGTGTTTTTTTTGCACCAGAATTTCTCCTCCATGACTGTTTCTCACACCTTTCTTCCAATCAGCCTCCCTCTCCCTCCACGTCTTGTTGCCTTTGAGCCTCAGCCTGCTTTGCACACTGTATTTACTCAGCTGTTCAGCGGCTGCCTCTATTTATTACCTGCAGGAGAGACTGAGTAAACCAGCCCCTCGGAGAGTTTTCCTCTCTTCTACTCTTGTCACCGAATCTTAAAAACTCTGGGCTGGAAAATTGATTGTTCCAGAGTTTGTTTCCCCTCCTCCACCCCCTCCTTCCAGAGTTTGTTTCCCCTCCTCCACCCCCTCCTACCACCTTTTATCTTTTTCACTTTGCTCCATACTGAGCTCCCACTTCTGTCTGTTACAAAAAAAAGGTTCACAAACCAATAGCTACAAGGCTGAGAAAAAAAATGAAGCATTTAAGGCTCTACATGTCGGATATGTTTCTCTTGGGTTTAATCTGAATAAAATCCCAAGTTAAGCTTTAATGGATAATATTGAATAATATGTTACCAGTTCTTGGAACTTAGGGGAGGAAGAAAACATGGACTTTATCTTTAAGCTGCTTTTAACTTCTTTTCTGTGAAGGCAACATACAGCAAGTTACTGTCGGGTAATGAGATAAAATATATTCTGACTCTAACCATTTTGGACCAGATGAGAACAGGAAAGCAAATCTGTATGTGTCGTGGTACATTAGTTTCAAGATAAACCTGCAGGTAATCAGACAGGAGAGATCGTGCTTCAGCTTCTCATTACTCGCTGGGATTTGGTTCTGACTGTTTAAAACCAGCACTTCCACAGCTCTTCTTTGTTCCTGTCCTTGTGTTTGACTTTCTTTTACCTGCAGTCTGCCTCCTCCTTCACCAAGAAAACCACTTCCTGAAGTGTTCTCTGCCAATCTCCCCAGGATATCACAGGCTTTCACAATAGCCTGTGGCACCCGTTTGATCAGCACGAAAGCTTGATGATGAACACCTCTCTGCGCCGCTCTAACTGCAGCAGGGAAGGAAGCACAAGGTGAGGGGAGGTGTGAGATGTGGATGAATTGAGCAAATGGCAGAACTGTCAGTCAAGGCAGGGGCTTTGGAAAGTACTGCCTCAATGTGTAGCTAAAACAGATTCCTTTAAAGAGTAACTTACCCCCAAATTAACTTTTTTTTAGCTGATAAACTGTCTAGAATGTGTCTAAAATGTTATATAGTACTGTTTCTATGCTAATTTTGATGTTTTTGTGCGTATTTGTT